TACATAGTTTCCTAGAACAACAGTAATATCAGGGAACCTTTCCACTCTGCCAAATACCTCACGACCAATATTTACCTACAGCAAGTTGTATTCACCCATAAATCATCATTACTCAGCAGATTTGAACTAACACACCACTTTTATATTCACACACACAAAATAATTACAAAATAACTCTACTTGTGCTGTTGTTTCTAAGTAAATTATATTAATTGGGATATATTGTAGTGAGCATAAAAGTGCAGGAAGTTGTTGGTTAGGTTAGGTTAGGTTAGGTTAGGTTAGGTTAGGTTAGGTTAGGTTACGATACATTACGTTAGGCTAGAAAAGATTACGTTTGGTTAGATTAGTTTAGGTTTGGATAGGCTAGGCAGGGTTATGTTAGGTTAGGTTAGGTTAGGTAACGATACATTACATTAGGCTCACTTCATCCTCACTTGCCCTATGACCTCCTCCTACAGGTCCCCAGCCGTTACCAACACCTCGTCCCTCCCTGACCAAATATCCCTCCTCCTAGAGACAGGCCTGGCACTAGGAAACTGCCACACTTTGACATAAACAGAGGAATTGTACCGGAAATTTTCCCCGCACACACTCATCACTGTCACTTTATGTAAGTTGCTGACAAAACCCATGACCCTTCAGGTTTACGCCCTTAATGCATGAGTCATAAAGGCAAGCATGAACTACGCATGCTTCCCAGATGGGCGCTGTAAACACTTCTGGCTTCACCGTGCACAGGATATAAGGGGGTGCCCAATAAACTAGCCCCCTCGCTTGGCAAATTCTAAATTCTAAAATTAGGCAAGGCTAGGTTAGGTTAAGTTACATTTATTTAGAGTTATATGTAGACTGATACCATCTGTAGCCTTGGTTAATGCATATGATTTTAATTAGTGATCGTATCTATCTGTTCTGTGTCGTTCTTTCCGAGTCACTGATATGAATCTTTAAATAGTAGTACTGTATTGTGGACGAAGATTATACTACTCCTATATTCTCTCTTGTCTTCTAATTTTGAGGTAATATCCCACAACACACACACACACACACACACACACACACACACACACACACACACCCTTGACCACCGAAGGGTCAAGACGTACCTGGCGCTCCTCTCGGAGCAGCCAGGTCAACTGTTATGATGGCCCATACCAACCCCCTCCCCTGAACCCTCCTCCCCACCGGAATATCAACATGTTCTCGCCAGAAGTTACTATTTCATTTAGGAAAGGAATGGAACCAGTGTTAAACAGAGGTGAACAGTGGTGAACAGTGCTTAAGTCAGTGAGAACAACTCAACAGTAACAGTAGTACCCAAGTTAACCTTCACACAGTGAGGTCCCAGGTACCCAGTGATAACGGCCCGTGAGACCCAACAACCAACGATATGTTAATCCGTTTACGATAGGAAGGCCTGGAACCACACCTCACTCATATAACACCATCTGTGAGGGAATTACTACACCACGTGAGGCCCCTCATAACACCATATGTGAAGGAGTTACTACACCACGTGAGGCCCCTCATAACACCATCTGTGAGGGAATTACTACACCACGTGAGGCCCCTCATAACACCATCTGTGAGGGAATTACTACACCACGTGAGGCCCCTCATAACACCATCTGTGAGGGAATTACTACACCACGTGAGGCCCCTCATAACACCATCTGTGAGGGAATTACTACACCACGTGAGGCCCCTCAACACCATCTGTGAGGGAACTACTACACCACGTGAGGTCCCTCCTAACACCATCTGGGAGGGAGTTACTACACTACGTTTTTGCTGTTCAACACCTACAATAATCTATATGTTCACTGTATGTTCCTTTACCTTTCTCTAATGAAGGCTTTTGTTAAACCACCAATGTATGTAATAAGTCATTTATGTCCAATGTATATTTTCAGCCTTCGGGCTGCAGAACTTTTTCAATAAACCGTCAGTTATTATTATTATTATTATTATTACACTCCCTCTCACCAGCAGCTGGGTTGATATATCCGCTTCATAGTGCCGCCTGGGAAAAAGTAAATAAAGAAATAGATAAACGAGGAACGGGGAAGTCCCTGGTGAGAGATAAGACAATGGCGGGAGGGGGGGGAGCTAATCTCTCTCTCTCTCTTTCTCTCTCACTTTATTCATTGTTCTTTCTTCTCTCTTTTCTCCACATTCTTATCTCTTTGTGTCTATATATCTGCCTGTCTTTTTTTTAAATGGGAATTAGCCCACCCGGACACAGTTGATTCATAAATAAATACAAATGGAAAAAAATAAAACCGATCTATAGTGAGAAACAATATATGTATGTTATGTTGCCAATAGTAAGAGAAACAATTGAGACCCTGCAATTGTGGCGGAAAAACCAGATCAGCAACCATTAGACAACACATTATGGTTCCAGGCGGTAGTACCTCCATTTTCTATCTAATTTCAGGGCAATGACGTCGTTTGTGTAATGCCTATAAATATGATTTTTTAGGTGACGTCGATTATGAGGCGGACATAGACTTTTCTCAAGGTTACTTTATGGTGATTATATAATATACTGTAATGTATTTTTACAGTTACATCATTCCTTTATTAATATCAAATTTCTCCTTCAAGTATACAACATTAAAAAGCAGATGATATTTTAATAATGTACACAGGACAGCAGGAAAAACATCACTACATAAATTTAGCTTTAATAATATTTCTGAGGATTAAAACGTTAACTTTTACTTTTACTTTTATCCTCTTCGCCACTGATCGGCTTGTTAGCCGCTTGGGCGATCGGTCACGACTCTTTTCCTTTATATTCTTCACCAAAAGGTCGGCTCGCTAGCCGCCCGGGCGATCGGTCACGTCTCTGTCACGCACTGTTGGCAAATACTGGGCATGCACCGGCTCCTGAATGTACCTGAACCCGCTCCAGTGTTGGTCAAGTCTTCTCTTGAAAGAGCTCACACTCGGTGCCGTCACAACACTTTCTGGTAGATTGTTCCAAGAGTTTACAACCCTCACTCCGAAAAAGTTTGCCCTCACGGTTTTCCGGACTTGCGGCTTCTTCAATCTTGAGCTGTGACCCCTTGTGGGGCGAGCGTCCGCCAGCTCCAAGTAAGGACACTCAACTGAGTAGTGCCCCCTGAGATGCTTATAAACCTCAACTAGGTCCCCCCTTGCCCGTCTGTAGTATAAGCTAGGCAAGTTCAGGCGCTCCAATCTCGAGGTTTTCTTATAACTACGATTGTAACAACGGATGCAAGTGACTAATGTCTACTATGACAAATATAACAAGAAAGTGTGTCTCTTCTAAGTTTAGTTTAGTTTTGTGGGATAGAAACTGGCTTTGTGTTCTGTGCTCAAAGGTCTTTGCTGTTAAATATGTTAAACCTTTATAACAACAACATTAACGGCACAAACATGATGGTCAGTATGGCGTATAAAGTGCGATGCTTCTCTCTTGAAATGATTAAGTTTTGATTTCCAGGGACATCATTAGTGGATATAAGTTGGTAAGGTGTAGCTACATTTTGAACCTATGTATAGAGACTTTCATAGTTTATGGGATATTGATCTCAAATACCCGCTGTCAGGAGAAGTATTGAACATGTGTATAGATTTATTTTCTAGAAGTCATTTATCATCCAGGTTGAAATCGATTTTCATTTCTTTGTGTATTTCATTAGGCATCATAGCTATCTGGTGCCTAACTGGAACGTTCGGTTTCAAGTATAAATGGACAAACTAAGGTTAGATTACTTCGCGTTTGATTCGAATATTTTCCATTTAGGTTAAATTTAGTGTAAGTAGATTCCGTTTTCTTTTATTATAACTGGTTACCCAATTCACCTATCTTAAGTAATGGCCATCATAACTAGAGGTAGCCAAGACGTGCTGGATACTGCTAGGTGATTGATAACATATATAAGATATATTAGAATACATTAAGTTGCACAGCTTATAGTATAGACAAGCAAGGGGTAAAGGGTGATTGAATAGAAGTTTATCATCACCTCAAAGGACATTATTCATTTCAGTTCATATCTGGAGCTAAGGGATGCCCTCCTTTATAGATGGCTTAGCCTTAAATTTAAGAAGCCACAGGTACAGAAAATAATCGGGGGTAAGTTGGAATAATAGTTATTAATTCTTGTAATAACTTGTCAGAGAATGTTACGACGGCACAGAGTGTGAGCACAAACAAGACCAGACTTAAACAGCACTGGTACATATCCAATACTCCAGAACGTGTAAAAAAATTAAATACAATAAATGATGGACTTCCAGATCAGCTAGAGAACCGACGACTAACGAAGAGGATAAAGTATGTTGATAGTCATGATAAAGTAGTTCCTCCATTAATATAAAGCTTAACATGTTCTTTGATAAATACCAGTAAAGAGAACTTGTCGGACTAACTTAAGTATTTTTACTTCTCTTCCACAGTTGTATTGATTAAATCAGACCGACTAGCTAGTAAAGTAAGCTGGCAACTGGTAAAACTGACAAATAGAAATAAAAAATGTTTACTGAAAGATTCTAGGCTGTTTTTTTGTCTCATGAACCTGTTGATTTATTGAGTGAAATGTCGCAATACAGCAAATCAAGTTAGCTTGGTAACTAAATAATAATGTCTTGGTCGTACAGTGTGATGACCGCATGTCTTCTGAAGAGTTCGTTGTCCTTTGAGTGTAATTAATCAACTGAATAAATATTATTGCGAATTATATGACTGGAATATAATAAAACTATATCGTTAAACTGATTTAAACTTTATTTACAGTTCATTAATTACTACCAGAGGGCGGTATACTCATCAGAAAATAATATAAGATAGTAGCATAATATAATTTAGTATAAGTGACTGTACAGTATATATAATATTTATTAATACTGATCAAATGATTTAGCACAGTCGAGTGAGTAGAGTTTAGCCCAGCGGCCTCCTTGAGCAGAGTTGCCAACTTAGCGACTTTGTAGCTAGATCTAGAGCTTTTGGTTTTTTCTAGCGACATTTGAACATCCGAGTTGGCAACCCTGTCCTTGAGTCTCACCACAGCCAACATGACTGACCAAGACGATGTTATATCTCTCGAGGATGAGGATGAGGTAATTCCTGACGTGGCTACATGTCAGGTAAGGCTACATAAATATTTCGTTTTCAAAATGGTAGTATGATAGATGACTGTTGTTATAAGGTGAACCATGCAGCGTGGACTTAAATACATCGTGTTACATTTTGCCAAACTTTATTTCATTTACCCACAACTTGCTATGTCTTGAGGATATAAGGGTGTCTAAGGTTATGGTATAATTTACTCATGTCATATAAAGAGAAAGGTTGATAACACTACCACCAGGTTCTATGCATTATCGTGTTAATTTATGTGTTGAACAACTTGCCTAAGGCGAATTTATAGTATCACACCGGTCTTTATTTCCGTATTAAAAATATGTATCTCATAATGTTTACACAATTCTAAGACATTTTTATTCTGTGATATTTCTACCGGAAATTAAGGATAACCGAGGTATTCATTTTTCAAGATTACTACTTTCGCTCAGTCACAAGTGTCGCCGAGATTTGTTTACTTAGGGTCCGACTAATTACCCAAATGTAGCCGCAGTGAAGTCAAATAATGGTCCTAGATGAATAAATCGGACTGACAATCACTTCTCGACTGGTATTTGGTGTCACGAAGTCACAAAAAATTGGTAAACTTAATTTAATCTGAGTTAATAGATCGAGTGCATGTATCTAACCTAACCTAACCTAACCTCGACTAGTATTTGGTGTCACGAAGTCACAAAATATTGGTAAACTTAATTTAATCTGAGTTAATAGATCGAGTGCATGTACCTAACCTAACCTAACACAACACAACTCAGATTGAATTAAGTTTACCAATTTTTTGTGACTTTATGACACCAAATAATAATCGGGAAGTGATTCACAGCCCGATTTACGCTTGTACGACCATCATTTGACTTTATTGTGGCTACATTTGGGTAATTACTCGCTCCCTCAGTACATGCACGCGATCTACTAACTCAGATTAAAGTAAGTTTTCCAATTTTTTGTGACTTTGTGACACCAAATACTAGTCGAGAAGTGATTAGCAGTCCGATTTATTCATGTAGGACCATTATTTGACTTCATTGCGGCTACATTTGGGTACATTTGGGTAATTAGTCGGACCGGTTTACTTATGGTGGAGGTGGTCTGACCCCCTGCTCACGCATTGCTCCAGGCCTCTGTCTTTGCTCTTTAAACGTCTGGGGCATGAACAACGGGTTAGGTTTTCTTGGTTGGTTGGTAATATAATTAATGTAATTTATTCTAAAAAATAAATCCCTCTTTTTCTGGTATGATTGTTGGGTGGGGGGGAGGTCATCTAAAAAAAACACGAGATTTCCGGTGGAAATGGATATCAAATTCGTTCGAAACTCATCAAAATACAGAGGAAAATCCTAGTTTTAATATCAAAATAAAGACCGGTGTGATACTATAAATTGACCTTTCCTTAATATTGAGGTTGATATACATCAGCAATGGCGAGGAGGAGTTCGTGGAAGCGTTCACCATCATTTATAGGAAGCGTCTCTTGAAGAGGGATTCAGCGAGGTAAACAACAAAAATGGTGCCGGGAGGAGAATTGTGAAGTGGGATGAGTAAATAAAAAATTTATATACTTAAAACTCATAATATAAAGTTGTTTCTTTTAACATACTTAAAATCATCAAAACAATAAGTGCAGCAAAAATAAAGAAAAGCAACAAACAACTTCTGGTGGTAGCCGTTATCTATACCTTTACCAAGAGAAGTCCATATGGTAATTCGGCAATGCTTCTAGCCTTCAGAATTTTACTCTTCCTTACAGGAGGAAAATTTTTGCATTCTTCATGATACAGTATAGGATGTACACAAGATTACCTGACAGGACAACCAAACTCTGAAATTTTGTTTGCTCTTACAACATATAGGTGTTATTTTATATTATATATTACATATAAATGTTGACAGTGAGAAATTTCTTGTGTATTTCCCCAGAGACTTGTGGAGCAGTTTGCTAATATAACTGGGACAGATGAAGCCTGTGCTCAGTTTTATCTTCAGGACCGCAAATGGAATCTTGAGGTATTGCAGTAGTCAGTTGGGTAGAGGTTATGAGAACAGCAACTGTGTTTATTGTTACATTTTAATGGGATCTTTACAGGTATGGTTGTTTTGATATACAGTATAGTAGTGGTCTTGTATCAGATCAAGGGTTAACTGAATTTGAACTCCTAAACATCATGTATTAACTATTGATACAAAGGACAGGAGTTTTCTTTGTAAATGTTAGGCTATAACAAATGCTTTGTATGGAAGCCTTTGATGCGAACCAGCCCAACATGATTGCATCATATTACTCGTATCAGCTATCATAAATGGCTTATCAATGTAACCAGTATCAACAAAACTAAATCACTCTCTTTTGTACAGTATATAGGTCTAACATGGGTAAATTTGCATAAGCGCACCCCACTCTGTTAGAAAGTCAAAAATATATTTTTCTAGTGTATTTGTGTGTGTTTGGACCGAATATGACCTTCATTTCCGTCGGAAATTGGCCGGGTTTCTTTTATTGATTTTTTTCTTGGGACGTTTTCTGAAAAAAAAAAAGGCTAAGCAAATACAAAATACTCCAAAAAACACTAGTAAAACATAAACCAAACCTAACCTAACTGACTCACCATATGATGGAATCACCTATTTCTTACCTTGTTGGCCTGGTTCTGAGATTCTTACAGGTTGCTGACGCTGACGCTGATTCTCGCTTAACGGGGGGTATAAGCGGGCAGCTTCTTTACTGAGGTCGGGAGAACACCATGCGGTCGAAAAAAATGCTAGTTTCTTTTTTTTTCTTTTTTCCAAAAAACTCGCAATCAGCTCCATATAATTTAAGTGACACCCATCACAGACTTCCATGGTCGGAAATGAATATGAATTTGGAAATATGAGAGACCCAAAATAAAAGTCGAATTTGATTGGGCTAAAAATATCGCGAATTAAACCAAAAATCATTTTAATTGGTTGCAAAAAAAAATGCTATTGATTGGCCGTGTGACGTGTACGAGAACGCATGCGCGTAATAATTTATGAAGGAGACACGCAGTGTGGGAGGTGAGGTAGGCGATAATGGCGGAAGACTAATGGAAGAAAGTAGAGAAAATTTGGGATACGCTATCTCCGTTATTATACATTTGAGACGATAATGTAATAGATGAAAATTATCTTATAATTAGACGTCTTATTCGAATATGATAATAGATTAGCGTTAGGAATGTGGGGTGTGAAAATGCAATAATACCCTGACATGTGCTTCTGATAAATAAAATTAATTAACAGTAGAGTATTGTATGTCCATACCCTCTCACTAGATTTGCATTCTGTATAGCTACAGTAAGTAAGTAAAATAATAACTTACCATCACATTAATCGTAGGGAAGTGTTCTTGAGCGTCCATTTAACTAAGGGCTGGAGTACTTGTGGATGAGTTAATGATCTACTGATTTTCTTTATTTCTAAGCCACATTATTTATATAGAGTGGAATAAGTGTTAAAGAAGTCCTTTTTTTTTCCCCATGCAGAAGTCCGTGAATGCATTCTTTGAGGCTCGGGCTGGAAGTGGGATAACTGTGTTGGATGATGGTGATGAGCCAGAGGTTGTTGTCACATTTGAGTAAGTGAACAATTATTATTTTATAATTTTTTTTATTTTCATTCATAATAATGTTGGGCGCGTGGAGTAATACAGGCAGTCCCCGATTCAAGAAAATCCGGTTTACAAAAAAAAATATAATTTTGTCGCATGTTTGGATTTGATATGAAAAATCTTAGTTACTGGCCATTCAGGCTGTTGGTCTGTTCTCTGTCACATTGTTAGAACCTTATTGTTCAGTGTTAGTACAGTACAGTACTAGAGGAACCAGAGTACAGTATCCAGAGAAAACCTACTATGTTTGATAGGTACTCACTGGCTAACACTCCTCTCGTATCTGTCCCAGACCAGGGATTGAACCCAAGGCATAGTGATGAGAGATGTTACCACTGTACCACAATGATATTTCAGTCATAAGATTAAAATTTTATCAATCAAAACTGCATGATGCAGTGTTTTCAATTAAGAAAAAAACTGCCTGCATTATACTGAATACCAGTGAGTTTTGAAAGCCAATCATTTTATGCTCATACCCTTAACATCTTTTAATCACCATAGTCCATTTGATGACCATCAGTTTTAACCAATGATTGGATTATTTTTATTTCTATGTTTAATAATTACAGAATAACAATAAGAACTATTCTATAGAGAGAATACTATTTATGATACAGTATTACATAGGTAGCTAGGTACAGGTATTTGATAAATGGAAAGAGCCATCATGCTGTGGCAGGAATTACTTGCCTCTTCCAAGTTAAGATTGACAGTACAGTTTGTGTGTCAGACCTCCCAGTGTGTGTTACAGTGTATCAGGTATGGACCAAGACTTACATAGCACAGTATACTTAATTTTCTTCTCCTGATGTAACTATTTGATGCCAGTGGTTTTTATTCTTTTCAGTTATATTACCTGGTGTGTTTAATGACAAGTTATTGAGGCATAATCCTACTATTTCTGTTAACTTTCCAGCAGTTGATAACTCTAAAGGTTAATGAGAAACTGGATATTTTATATGGAGAATAATCATAAATTCACTTACCTGTTTGAAATGTGATTAATTCCATCCCATCTCTCCGACGTGTTCTTCTTTCGTCGGGTGTTGAGGAAATTCAGTTTGCTCGTGTTTGCAACCACAGACATGATATTTAAAAAGAAAAATACATTGTAAAGCTGACTCAATTACAAAGTCTTTTCTCGTATATTTTTGCAGCTCAAAGTTGGTTTCTGCACTCACCAAGGGGACACTTACTGAGGTGCCACCAAAGAATTTTTGCTTCATAACCTGGAACATTGATGGGCTCGATGATAAAAACCTCAAGAAGAGAACAAAAACTGTTGCCAGGACAATTGAGAAGTATGTTTTCTAATTACTCTACACCTAGTTTTTTCATACATTTAAAGGAGATCATGTTTGGTCAGTTTCAATTTTTTATATGTTTATGATCTTCATAAACTACAGTACATTACAAAACAAATTTTGAAATATTTGGTTATGTACTTGTTTGAGAATTATCCCTCTTAGCTTTGATGATGTATACACCAAGTAGTATTAGTACCAAGATGTGAGAAGGTATAGAGAATATTAATAATATCTTAAAACACGTACTATACAGTGTATGCTTATTGATGAAAGTAAAAAGAAAAGATAGGGAAGCATATCAGTACAGTGGAGCCACGATATTTTTCAGGTTAGGTACCAAAAGACATCGTGAATTATTAAATCATGAGTTAGTTTAATTATTTTGGTTCTAGAGATAAAAAATACCAACAAACTGTTCCTAAACTTTTTAATAAACACTAAAAACCATACATGTACATTATACATAAAAAATATGATAACAGATATTAAAAGATACAGTAACAGATACATATAATACAAAAAGTAATTTTATATTACCTACAGTACACAGCTCCTTCCTCTCATTATTTTGTGTGGGTTACACCATTGAGGCAGGTGCCAGGCTGGCTGTGTCTGCATTATGTCAATGAAAACCAGGAATTTAATACCTCACAATAACTCACATGGGTATGAGTGTGGGATTTTTCGGGGGTGAAAATTTATTACTTTACAATAATGTTTTATTGACCATGTACCAAATGAACCTAAATAATATGGGAATTAAGGTGAAATTGCATAATGTTGTAGTAATGTCAGTGACAGACATAGAACATTCATGGTAATGAAGGTCTTACTTGTTCCATTTAACAAGTTTAAATGTGTAATACGTAGTCATGTCATTGCAGTAATCGTGTTAACGTGTTTATTTAAGGTACGGTACAGTATCTCCCTTATGTCTTGTTTGTTATCATTGGTACTGTATACAGTAAAGCGTTAAGCTTTATGTTCAAACACACCTGCTGGTGAGTTGGAGTGTGTAAACTCTGTGGAAGCCTATTATTGGACACAACTGTGGATTGTTTTACGGGGAATAGCCCACCCGGGCACAGGTCATTGACTCACATCGGGGCCTAGGGGGAGAAAAAATAAGAATAAAAAGAAATTAAAAATAGAAAAGGAAAAGGTTATATTAATCTACACCACAAAGATGCTGGAAAACCAGCTTTTTAAAGCGAGACAGATTGTATGAGTGTGGAAATACAGAAGAAGGCAGAGCATTCCACAGTTTGGCTGTGTGAGAAAAGAAGGATGTACTATTACGGGTTATTCTAGTGTGACCGACATCCACAGAGAAATGGTGAGCACCGCGGGCAAGACGCGTGTTACGAGCCCACGGCCTTGCCGGCGGTACACAGGATGCCAGATCCACCGAACATTGCCCATTAAAGTACCTGTAAAAGAGAGAGAGAGTGAAGCAACATTGCTACGAAGATAAAGGGAAGAAAGATCGTCAACTAAAGGAGGAGAGTTAATAAGACAAAATGCCTTTGATTCCACCCTATCTAACAGTTGGACAGAAAAAGAGCCACCCCAGATATGAGAGCAATACTCCTGATTAAGAGATAATTTGAATCCCTTGTGAGGTTGAATATGAAAAAAAAAAGGATATAGAATGAAATGCATTACATTTGGGCAATATTCATCACACTTGGTATTGCTAGACTGTGTGTACTTCATAAACTTTTCAAAGAAAATTTAATTGTAGATATCTGTACATATCTGCCAAATTATGACTGATTGCAGTAAAATTTGGAGACAATAAGTTGCCCAGCTCTCTGCAGAAATGAGGTATGTGTGAAGCATTTTTCATGTTATTTCTTTACGTATGGGCACTGTAATGGGTTTGTAAGCATTGGAGTGACTAAACCTGTAGCAAGTATACATGCGACAAGCTGATCCACCAATTGTAACACCTCAATACTTTGGCCTTTTGGGTTAGAGAAAACCCCAGGAACACAGAGCTTCCCATCAATGCTCTCTCCACCCTGGAAATGCCATTCCTCAGTGACCTCCACCACCAAGCACTGGAAAGGTTTGGCAGCCAACTAATGCACCACCCTCGTCTTCGCCACCTCCTGCCACTGGCAGCCCCCCCACCTACCTCGCGCAGTCCGCCACTACAACAAAATTCAGCCCATAAGAGCCCGCACCGATAGATATAAGAATAGCACCATCCCACTTATTGTTAAAATAATAAACAACTCCTGATTTATGTACTGTACAGCCCTGTAAATGTATTCAACGCATATATCATTATGTCTAAATCAAATGTATGTATGTCTATATTTTCAGCCACCGGCTGCAACTCTATTAATGAACTGTTTATTATCATTATTATTATTATTTAATGTGTTGAGGAATGGAGTACAGTAGGGTTGGATTCCATAGTGCTCTGATTGAAAGGAGTGAATACACATGGTGGTTATTCCCAGTTAATTAGGAAGTATTATTCAAACAGTTATGATGATGGACTATAAGTGTTTGTTCTAGACATGAAAAAAAAAAAGGTTGTCAATGTTATTTTGTCATTGTTGTAGTTTCATTTCAATGCTGACTTTATGGGGAAGATGCCAACATGTAAAGTTGTAATGGTGACTGTCCAGTTTCAGTTCTGTAGATTCACATATTTTACTTTTAGTTACAGATCTCCTTTTTTATTTTTCAGTGAGAAAGCAGATATAGTTTTCCTACAAGAATTAGTGCCAAAGACATACACCTACCTGGAGGACCTTCTTCCCCAGTTTGTCTTCATTGTGGGAGACACAGAAGAATACTTTACTGCTATACTACTCCGTCGCACTACAGTTTACTTTGACGGTCATAACTTAATCCCTTACCCAAACACAGTCATGGGCCGAAATTTACTGTCTGTAGAGGTTAGTACTTTTCATCATAATGCTGCAACAGTACATATCAAATCTGTCGAATGGAAGTTAATAACTTAAATGGGACACATTCCGTACCCTGACTATCCTCCCATAGCCCACTAAACTTAATAATAGAAAACTGTTCTTAACCCAGTACAGTAAGGATTTTGAACTTTTGGACTAGCGACATGCATTTGTGAAAAACTGTTTGTGAAGTGAATTCGTGCTAATTGGGACACATTTTCCTATAGGGTCTTGTGTTATAAATTTATCAACTGATCCTCTCCAGACCTAAGAATTTCAGCACCAAAACTTAACCTAATCTCATTAAACATGAATTTTAATGTGATAGTTAAAACTATATACAGTACTACTGTACTGTATATACTGTAATGTGTAGTCACCAGAGCTGGGGATTTACGCCACTTGTCACAATGTTGGTATAGAAGATAAGTGTATGAGTGCTCTAGACCAGCGCCTGACCCCTCACTAATAAAGCATGACTATCACCCAGTTCAATACTCGTGTTTATTAAAAAATTACAAAACCATTTGTAAGTATTGAAGACAGACTGCGGGCTCTGTTTATTGTTACATTAGAGCATTGAGTGACACTGGATTTAATCAGTTATGCTAAAAATATGATAGAAAAGGATTTATATTGAGAGGGCTAAGGAATTTACTTTATAGCATTGTCATTCTTCAAAGAAGTTGATTTTAACTGTTTTGATGGTTGTACATTATGATTGGCTACTTAATAGTGCTTTTGCCAGTAACAGTCTACAACAACCATTTCCTCTTCAGGCTCACATAGGAGATGTCAAGTTGCGCTTACTCAACACCCACTTGGAGAGCACAGCAAACTTTACCAAGGAACGAGTTGCTCAGCTAAAAACTGGAATTGAAAACATAAAAGAGAGTCCATCAAATATGATTACAATATATGGAGGAGACTTGAATATACGTGACAAAGAGGTATGACTGGTACTATTTATTGCAGGGTTTAGCATACTTTGTTAGTGTGTATACAGAAGCATACTGTACATATAGCAGATTCAGTAATGTACGTATGGTGATTGTGGAGTCTGTACATGTTTAACTTTGATATTATATCAGTGATTTTATATCTTAGATAAAGTCACACTCACAGCTGAATGGGTTTTTTCTTGTAGATTCATTTTCCTGGTATGATCCACTAAGGATTTTTTTTTTATCTTTCAGCCAAGTTATGGTTTTAATTGCTGGACATACAGTACTCTATACAGGGTATACATGTTTTATCTACCTTCTAATTAAAACAATCTCATGTTGATAAAAAAATGTATTTAGCTTGTGTCCTGTCTAGACTTAAATTGTGTTATAGTTGGTAATAAGATAAATTTTTACAGGTTGCTGCTGTTGGCATGCCTTCAAATATTTATGATTTATGGGAGGCATGTGGTAAACGGCCCGAGTGCAAGTGGACGTGGGATACTGAACGAAATACCAACAAGGAGGCAAGTGTACTGCCAGTGTTGTCACTGATCAACAGTTTTACCTGTGAATAAGAAATATTCTTTATATGGTATCACCTAACATTAAATCATGCAACTCTGTATTGTTAACAGTTTCCTGGTCGTTACAAGCCGAAAATGAGGTTTGACAGAGTATACATGCGACAAGCTGATCCACCAATTGTAACACCTCAATACTTTGGCCTTTTGGGTTTAGAGAAAACCCCAGGAACACAGAGCTTCCCATCAGACCACTGGGGTATTATAATTCGCTTTGAGGTAAAGTACTCTACAGATTTGTATTCTGTAAATAATATTCTTATGCTTGCAATAAACATGTTTTGAAATTATAAATCTGAAGATACCCCGGTAATCTCATTGTCTTAAAAACTTAGCTTTGAAAATCATATTTAGATAGAGTGGTCCCTCGGTTAACGAATTACCTTCCATAAGAATCTTCAATTCGGTTAACGAACAAAAATTTGATTAACGAAATCCATACGAACGTCACGTTTTGTTGTGAGCATCAGCTGATGGGCTTGTCTGCCAATTCAGTAATCTGTTCTATGTTTACATTCGTTTCCAATGGAGTAAATATCAATAAAGTTGTGCTCTTTAACATTTTTGCATGTTTTATATTAAAATTATTAGTCATTTTAACATTTAACATATTGATAATATCTGCAGTACAGGGAACTAGTTTGTTGTGCGCCCATCAGATACGTGAGTCGGCTACAAGGCGTCAGTTGGGCTAAAATAGTGGAGAGAGCATCCATTTAGTTGGTGTCTTGAATATTTTTGCATTTTTCATTGAAATTATTGGTCATTCTGAACTTTAGTTAACATATTGATAATATATAGCACAGTGCAGTGTTGATTTAAAGAAAATAATCTTGAATTACACCTAGTGAACTTAAAATTTTATTGGTGAAATTACTGCATCAAGCATGGGTCCTCTGAAAGGTGATTTCTCCTCCATCCCCACTTCCTTCTCTTCTCCCTTCTCCTCCACCCCCACTTCTAATTCCCATCATCTTCTTCATCAACCAGGAACCTTCTACATACACACCTCAAAGTAGGTGTACTTTACTGCATTTTTTTCTTTGTATGTACTTTTCTGTGAACTGGAACCAATTACCCAATATCCCATTGAAACAATGGATTCAGTTAACGAATGACCTTCTGGAACGAATTGTGTTCGTTAACCGAGCGACCACTGTACAGTAAAATCCTATATTTATGTAGTGGCTTTGGACTGAATACATTTCATATAAAAAGATTTTCCTTAAAACTGTTATTGCAGAGTGTACCTTTAGAATTATAGTGGAATACTCTTCACAGATATATGAATAACCTTACAAAATAAACTTGTAGATCTGTGTTTTTCCCTCATTAACAACTATTACGTACAATTTTTTAATTAAAGTACGGGTAATTATTTTTTTTGCATTCATGAAAATAATACAAAAATACTGAGGGGCAAGGCCCACCCCAGGTAGGGAAGAAACATCTGGTGTTAAGGTATCGCCTGTCTGTCTCTTTCAGACACCAATTTAAAAGGTTTATATAGGACCAAAATCTTCAATTGTTATCAAAGAATAAAGCCCTATATTTAAACCTAACTGGGTACAGATTTAAATTTGAAAGATCGACTGTTAAGTAGTCACATGATATTTTTTATAGAGTTAGCAAGGAACAGTTGTTTTACTTCTATGAAAGATCATGTGTTTACTGATTTCTCCTGAATATGAATTGAAAGCTGATGACAAGTATTAGTCATTCATTATGTGGCCACATGTCACTCAGGAACAATTTCTTGCTTATTTTCTTACTTTCGCTGGAAAAAATGTAGTTAATATAATTAAAAAATAAATAAATCACATTATTTCAGGTGATAAGACCAAAGAATGGGAAACGTAAATTTTCATCTGTTGATGAACCCTCCACCAGCAGGGGAAAAATTCTTCATTAGTGCCAAGAATGGTGGACTGAGGTCAGGTGAGTCAGCTAAATTTTATTCCTTTACTTGAATATATTATTTGGCTAATGCCAGATGATTTTATCATGGGGTACTGTACATGATAAGATGTTTATCATAAAAGTAAGGTGAGTGTATTTACATTAAGTATATGGGCAAATTATGACCCAGCTATATAATGCTACTTTGCTTGTCTGAATGAAAAAAATTAATAAATAAAAATAAATCTCACAAAACTTTGCTGCTCATAAATAATGCACCATGCCCTCCTGTGCCTTTAAATGCATGTAAGAGGGGAATTTTTCCCAAGAACATGACATATCTGATCCAGCCCATAGATCAAGAGGGTAATTGCAACCCATAAAGCTCACCTTAAAATGAAAATTTTGCAATTGGTCACTGATAAATATGGAGATGAAGCGTCATACTTCCGAGAGTTTTGGCATTCCTTCAACAATAAAAATCCCACTGATAACATCCCGGTGCCTTGGGGTGAAGTTGCACTGTCTACAATGAAGGCACTGTGGCTATGAATCCGGCTTGGTTGTGTGAATGATTTTGACATCCTCAAAGATCAGAGCCAGGTGTCCTAAGAAGAAGATTTGTGCACCAAGCAATAGTTAGGATTTGCTGATAGGTTTATAGATATCATAGCATTATATTAAGAAGAATTAGGATATTTGAGGGTAAAAGTTCTACTGTTGATGTATACAGATCTTTAGTTTTATAATGATTTAATGAATAGATGGCCGTGGATGGACAGTTCTTGTCAAAAGGAGCATAGTACTGTATATACATATGGTGATTATTTAAAACCTAATCATCATCAAAATTTTATGTCCATTGGAATGAAAAACTCAGCTCTCAACAATGAGGAATTAGAATCTAAAACATTTTTTGTAAGGTAAGTGTTTGTCCTTCTAGCTTGATAAACCTAATCTGACCAACTATAAATTACACTGAAAAAGTAACGATAGGTCCCATAAGGCTAATGACCCATTTTCTTCTATACACAAGAGACAGTATGGCTGGCACTGCACTTTCCCCAATTGGCCACAAACCAGTGACCCATAGTGCTGTAACCATTTGACCACTGCATCATCAGCTGAACCTAACCTTATGTGTTCTGCAATTTACAACATAACCTGAGATGTCTGATGGATAGGTAACGTGTTTTGATTCTTGTCATCTGTTGAACTGTGGAAGCACAGGGATCCCCTGCATTACAGAAATTCGCCCTAACAGAATTTTGAAATTATGACCAAAAATTCACGATATGGAAAAGAAATTTGCCCTTATAGAAATTTATTAAATTTTTACCAAAATTGTAACATTTATTTTGTGTGGATTCATCTGTTGTAGCCAAAAGGCACCATCGGTCCCACAACAACAAGGGTTTCTGTCTTTTTTTAATCCCCAACCAGTTTTCAGCTGTGCCTCTCTTTTCTGGACTGTATTACAGGTATTGTGTTGTTGTACTTTTTACTTTTATCCTTCGCCACTGATTGGCTTGTTAGCTTGGGCGGCCGGTTGGCAAGTACTGGGCATGCACTGACTCCTGAATGTATCTAAACCTGCTTCAGTGTTGGTCAAGTCTGGTCTTGATAAGAGCTCACTTTGGGTGCCATCCTAACACTCTGGCAGGTTGTTCCAAGAGTTCACAATTCTCACTCTTGAAAAAGTTTGCCTCAAAGTTTTCTGAACTTGTGGCTTTAATCTTGAGCTGTGACCCCTTGGAAGAGGGCATCCGCCAGCTCCAGGTATGGACACTCGACTGAGTAGTGCAATCTGAGATGTTTTTAAACCTCAATTAGGTCACCCCTTGCCTGTTTGTAGTACAATCTAGGCAGTTGCAGGTGCTCTAATCTCTCAGGGTAGCTGAGGTGCCATAGTGCAGGCACCAGTCTGGTGGCTCTTCTTTGGACATTTTCAATCAACTGACAGTCCCTAACATATCTCGGGGACCAGATAGGGTGACAGTACTCCAGGCGGGAAAGTACCTCACTCTTGAAGATCGTTTCAAGGTGACGGCCCATCTACATATCTGAACAACCTTATAAGACCTACTAGTTTGGTTGCTCGATTTGTGCATTCTTCAAGATGAGTGGAAAGAGGCCATTAAGTGCAAGTGCTAGCAGTGGTGGGAAGAAACACGAAAGAACCCGCGCCATTTAGATATTAATGATATTCAATGGGACTGTTCACACGGAGCACGTGCATGAAAATTCATGTGCGGGAGAAATTCACCCCACTCCCGTCCCTGTAATTCCAAATCTCAGCATGAAAAAACACGCTGAACATTCTAGAATTCTTCAAATGGCAATGCTAAATGCTAGCTTAAATGTTTACACTCATTTACAAACGTCATACACACAAACACACTCATGTAAGCACACACACTTAATGTGGTATTGTAGTTATTTTATTGCATTGTATGTAGTTTACCTGTAAATAAAAAAAATAGGTTACTAAAATAAGAAATATAAAGAGCATGGGTCTGTATGTGTGAACTTGGCAGGTTGCTAAGTTAGACTGTCCCTGTAGCTACATCCCCCCTACCAGGCCAAGTGGTGTTATTGTTATTTGTCAACTCGTACTTTCATATAGATATACTGTACATACTGTAACTATTATTTTTTTTTACTATGCTGCATGCACACAATCGTTCATACAGAATGTGCAAAAAGTAAAAATAAAAGAAATTATTATGAGATCAAAAACATAGAGGATAAACATTTCTCATGTCAGTGGGAGTTAGTGGTCTCATCGTGGGAGCGGGAGGGAGATGCGGCATCGGGGATTTTGGTCTCCTCCAACCAGACCAAGCTGTGAGCTGCATTATTATTATTATTTGTTAACTGAAATTTTCGGGAAAGTGTATGTAGATTTCTTCAATTCTTTTACTCCGTTACATGTGCACACAATTGTTCATACAGAAATTGCCCCAAAAACGAAATGATTATCATAAGATAAAAACATAAAGGGAATAAACGTTTCTTACATGTACGGTAGTTAGCGCCTGGAGTGTGGGAGGAGAGAGCTGTGTTGGAGATCTCAGCTGCTCCAGTCTCCCATGTTCTGAGTGTAGTGAAACTTTGCCAAATGGCAATGTAGTAAATTTTCTTTAATTTTACTTTTTAGTTAAAATTTTATTTGTTCCTCACATTTATTGGTACAGTACTACAGTATACACGTGACCCTGGTCACTAAAGCCTCAGATAATGAAGAGTATATATCTGGAAATTGCCCCGATAATAGCAAATTTGTTATTTGCAATGACTTTAAGGAATGCACCCATTGTAATAACCTGGGTATTCCTGTATTGTAATTTATTGTGTTGGGTTTTTCCTTCAGCAGTATCCCTGATAGATATAAATTGCTAAGTGAGTTACTATAATCTGTTATTAGATATACAGTACAGTACTGACACATTGTTTTGTTTTTCAGGTGGGTTTTATTTTTTTTCAGATACAGTACAGTACATAGCTTCAAAGAAAGGGACGTATGAAATGAATCATGTTACCTCATGTACCTTATTGCTCAACTTAGTCACAAGTTTTCAGAATCACTTGTAAGACTTAAGTACATCATCACCAGCACCTGGAGAATGGGGACATGATGGGTCTTATTATATTTTGTGGAATAATATTTGCAGTAAAAATTTTTTTAAATAATAAACATCAATTATCATCATCTTGGTGTTGTGAACATTTAGGATACAGTGCCTTTATTTAATGCAAAGTTATGTTGTACAAGAAGTTGCCAAATATGATTTAATTAAGTTTAGACTAAGTGGATACAGTATTAATGAACCTCAAGTACAGTATTGTGCTGGTACACTTTAAGTTCAAGGAATTCTTAAAAAATGTTTGAGTTCTTTGTTGCCTACCATCTTTTTTATTTTAGGATTGATTTCCAATTTGGAAACAACCAATCATACTTTTGTTTTTACAGCATTAACTCTTAAACCATGTTCTTCACTTTTTTTTCCAATAATCTGTTAATGAGTTTTTGTAATGTCTCTTCACTATCTGTGATCGGGTAGTATTATATGCATAGGGTATATTTAATATTACTTTACCCTTAACTTTAAGTCCTTCATTATCACTTATAACTTCTCTCATTAAGAATTCTGAATATATATTATACAATGTTGGAGATAGAACACAGCCTTGTTGTACTCCCTGCCTAACTTTGAACCAATTAGTAAGTTTATTATTTACTAACACTGCAGCCTCCTGTTGCCAGTAAAGTTTTTTTTTAGATTTCTAATATCTCCTTCAGCAGTGTTGTTTACCTTATCAAAAACTTGTTCAAAATCAACACAACAGATTATATACATTTCTTTGGACCTCTAAAGCTGTTTCATTCAAAATTCTGAAACCTAATATAGCTTCTCTAGTTCCTTTTCCCTTTCTATATCCATTTTGCTCATCATATAACTCACTTTCTATTCCCAACTTTATTCTACTTAAAATTCTGTTTAATAAAACTTTGTAAGCATGACTTATTAAGCTTATTGTTCTAAACTGGGTGCACTCTTTAGGCTTCTGACTTTTTAGGTAATAATACAAATACCGGTAAAAAAAAAATTAAAATCACTAGGAATGTCTCGTTTGAAGTACTGTACATTTGTATAGAATTATATATTTTAGTCAAACATTTTATCCCATTCGTTTTATAAAATCTGCTGGAAGCTAATCAACCTCACTCTCCCCATCTCTCTTTTACTTATGCCTCAAACAGGATCTTATTGTCTTTACTTTTGATAGTCCCGCCCCATTTATTTCCCCTTTTGTGGTTCATTTATACATTTGCCTATAATTATGCCTTTCGTTGTCATTTCAGTCTCCTTGCACTTCCTTTCTAGATCATATTTCTTGGCCTATCTGTATTTCATTTTAATGTTATTTTTATGTAAGCCTTACTTCGTTTTATCATATTTCTTCTATCTATTTTCTTTAAAGTTTAATTTGTCACTCGCTCACTTTAGCCTCGTTCCTCCTGTGTCCTATAAGTTCTCCCCAGTCTCTAACATTAATTTTTTGTAAATATTGAATTATCCTGGTCCTTGCTCATCAAAGTCACCTGCCAGCAATACTGAAAGTCTGTCTTTGATGTCAGTTTTATATTCTATCCCTGCCCTTGTTTTGAGCTTCCTTAAATCCCATTTTATTTTGGCCATTGTTTTTCCTTTTTAATTTTCAAAGTTTTATCCTTTCTAAATCTTTCCTGAATTAAAATGTAATCGATTTGATTCCTGATTATTTTGTTTACATTGTCCTGGGGTGAGACCCATGTATAGAGGTGCCTTGGGTGTTGTTCAAACCATGTACGTACAGTATTTCCAATTATCATCTTGTTTTCCTTACAAAAATCTATTAATATTTCTCCTCTCTCATTCTATTACCCAACCCATGAGGTCCTACTTCTAGTCCTTTCCCAACTTTTGGGGCATTAAAATTACTCATTATAATCAAACATTCATTAAACTCCACAGTGTTACAGCACATTACAGGTTCCGGCAAGTCAACTAGTTATTGCTAAAATTCACCTTTCTACCGAGGAGGAAGTAGATGGTAAAATTCAAATTGCATATGAATAAAACTGTCATGCAAAGGCTTGTGAGCCAATGGTCTTTGGTATTTTTCAAATATAGCTTCTCAGTACGGTACTGTATTGTGCATATAGATAATATAACAACTTTGTAATGACGTAATAAGAAATTTAGACTTTTGCATTTCTTTCTCGTCAGTGTTTCATGAATACCCTGTATCAAATAATTTGTCAGTATGGCCAGTGTTAGGTAGGAATGTTCTTCATGAATGAAATGGTTTATTTTTATGAGACATTTGCTGTGGCCATTATAAGCTGTGATAGTACTGAATATACACATAGTACATACATCATTTATTTTATTTTACTTATGTATTTACAGTATTTATTTTGGGGGGTTCTTCCTCATGAGAAAATAAACTACTTCGGAGGCTAATGTCTACTCATATCATCAAGACATAGAGCATAAACTATTGAGTTCATATTAGCGTATACAGAAATTTTAACCAAACAACAGCACAGATTTGCACAACGAGCAATGTACTGTGGCCACCATATGTCAATCTTAAAATATCTGTCAGTTTCATCAAAATATAAAAAATATAAATAAATTATGCAAGTATGTGTATGTATGTACAGTGTGTATTTATGAGTACATGTGTACTTTTATTTTGTCCCATGGTTAAAAAACGGCTTGTCTACGTATTGTTCAGTACAGGTGATGAAAAATAATAATACTGTAGCAACTTGTGATAGCTTCAATAGGTATAGGCTCTGCTTTTGCTAATTGCTTTAGTAGAGTGAATAAGAGTTACATGTATAAGTAGTACTGTAGTGATAAATAACCTATAGCTCATAAGGCTAATTAAACATTGGTTATTTAAGGAATCTGGAGAAGCATGTTTTTATTAATTTTGGTAAATCTGAATATTCAGTTAAACTTCACCTAGTGTGTGACTTACAGCTATTAACTTTTTGTCAGTTTTTTTTAATTAGTTGGTGGTTGAGTATAGAAGCATTTTATGTGAAAAAGGAAGAACCTTGGATAATCCTCCTCTCCATGATGATTTCAAACTACAAAAGGTGCTGCATTAAGATCAGGGACACAGTTAATATATTTATCCATTGCATATACAGTAGGTCATTGTCTTTAGGTGAAGATAAATAAGGAAAAGAGTGAATGGCAGCACAGAGAACTGAATGTTCTTATAAAGCAAGACCTCATCTGGGTTTTTTGGGGGGAGTTGGCACAGTGTACTTCATGGCTATGGATGAGTTCCCACAACTATTTTGTATTGTAAACTTGATTTAAACATTTAGTTTTACACATTCTTGTATCTATTATCTATAATCCTTTCTTACTTTTGTGCAGGATGGATCAAGGGGTTTATACAAGTTAAAACAAATATTGTATACTCTTATTTTATATAACTGTAGTAGTTTTGTCTTTACTTGTGTGGATGTGCTCTGAATTAAGCAGCTTTTATTTCATCAGAAAATGTGAATTACATTGATAAAATTTGGTTTTTTGACACCCTTTTTTTTAGTTTGTGTGTAAGACAAAACTGTCAACCAGTATCACAAACTATGATGCTGTTCTATTTAAAACTTGTTGCAGTCCCTGGATATTGTCTGAGTATCTATTTACTTGTTCTTAATGAGAGGTTACAACACAATACATTTTAAGTATTTTGTAAGTTTTTTTAAGTAGTTTGTGATTCGTACAGTGGAGTCATGATAATTTGCAAAATACAAATTCATGGTACTGTACCTCTGTAACTACTTTTATAAAGTTTTGTGGTCAAATAATCATAATTTGTGGCCAGGCACTGGGTGCTGCAATGTTTATTTACATCAGAAACCAAAAAGTTGTGGAAATGTCATTTTGATGGTCTAATATGACTTAGAAATACTGAAAACATAATATAAAATTGTAAAATGAGAGAAAGGGAAAGTGGGGAGTGAATTGTGTGGGGGGGAGATAGAAGGCAGGGTTGCTAGGTGTGGACAGTGCCCCCTTCCCCAGTGTTCAGCACCCCTTCTTACTACAACATTATGCTATTTCAATAAAATGACCATATTATTTAGGTTCATGGTGAATAAACATATAAAGTAATAAATTTTCACAAGAAAAAATCCCACACTTGACTCCAGGTGAGTTATTGTGTGGTATTAAATTCCTGGTTCTTTGTTGACATAGTGCGGTCACAGCCAAGCTGGCGCCTGCCTTAATGGTGTAACACCCACAAATTAATGAGAAGGGAAGGAGTTGTCAAGGTAATATAGAACTACTTTTTGTACTATACCTGTTATATATTTTGTGTATTATGTACAATTGTGGGGGGTGTTTATTAAAGCAGTTTTGGAACAGTTAATGGTTATTTTTGGGCCTCGAACCAAATTATTTATTTCTATTTGAATCAGCTAAACTATAATTCACAAGTCTTTTGGTTCCTAACCTGTGAATTATCGCCTCTACTGTATGAGGTTTGCATTCTTTGTAGCAGTAGGATTTATTATTATCCTCTCTATGGGAATGTTTGTGTGGAGTCAGTGAGCTCTTGACTGCATAGATGATGCTCCCTAAAGTGTTTTATGTACAGTATTATTTGTATTTATTCTTCACATTTATTGGTACACTATATATTATTTTATGTGCAAAGAATTGCTCCTTCCACACTCAGACCATCCTCTGGGCGAGGTGACACAGTTCAGCCACTTAGTTGGGCAGTTCCCCAGCTGACTCACATCGGGGGAGGGAGGAAGGGAGCGTTGTCTTTGCAGTTACAGCTCACTGCCTCCACACAAACAGTCCCATAGAGAAGATCTGTCGAATAAGGATCTGATGCTGTTGGAACAAGAGCAAGCTGCAGGAGAAGAGGAGGATACAGAAGCTCCACCCACCCCACTTATGTTGACTACAAAGGGAATGGCTAAAGGGTTTGCACTTATAGATCCCAATTGTGAACACAACCTCATAGTTGTAAGAGCAGTTCATAATGGCCTCAGCTGATACAGTGAGCTGTACGAAGAGAAGATGTGCCATAAATGTCAAACAACTTTGGATAAGTTTTTCGCCTCCAGAGCGAAGCCTGAAGCAGATGATGATGATGATTTACAGGGAAGGGCAGAAGACAATAGTGCCCCTCCCTCTCCCTCTCAATAACTCACATTGCACCACCTCACCTCATGCAGCACTCAACATCATTTATGGTGAAATAAGGGACTGTAGCAACTCAACCGCATCATCATTTATCTACAACTTCTACATCATTAGCAAGTGTCACAATGTCTTGTTGAACTTGATGTATACTTTCTGCTTGTGGAAAACCTTGAAAGTCATAGATACACTCTGGCCATATGTTTTTCCAAATACCATTCATAACTGATGATTTCACTTCAACACACGACTCAGTCATGTTCTCCACGGCATCCATGATGATGAACTTTTTCCAGAAATCCTTCACTGTAGGTTTATTCTCCTCATCAGTTGCTTTTAAAAGTTCCTCTTAGATAATACAACTTGAAGTTTGCATTGATCCATTGGCTGGAGCAAGGCAGTTTTATTCTTGGGGATATACTACACTCACATGATCAGAAAGATCATTCAAGTTCACTGGGTGACTTGGTGCATTGTCTAAGAGGAGCAATGCTTTGTTGGATATATTATGCATGTCACTGTACCTTTCAACAACAGGGCAAAGGAACTAGTGAACCAGTCTTGAAAAAGGCCCATAGTCATCCAAGCCTTCATATATGAATGCCAAATAACAGGTAGATTACACTTGGCATAGCCCTAGAAAGCCCTTGGATTTTTAGAGTGATACACGAGTAGGGCTTTAATTTTATATCACCAGCAGCATTTCCTCCCACAAGAAGAGTTAGATGATCTTTAAAACCTGGTGCTGACTTTTCTTCCTTAGAAATAAATGTCCTAGCATGCATGTGCTTCCAATAATCCAGTTTCATCTACGTTGTACACTTGTTCTGATGTGTAGCCTCCTTCATCAATAATTTTCTTCAGCTCGTCAGGATATTTACGTGTGACTTCTGTATCAGCACTGGCAGCTTCACCGATAATGTTGTGAAAATAAGGTGTTTTTTAAACCTTTCAAACGAGCCTTTATTAACCTAAAAAGGTTTTGCTTCAGTAGTTGCACCTTCTTTCTGCAAATCATTATGCAAACTATTTGCCTTCTCTTGAATAATCATCGTGTTTATCGACACATTACATTGGGTCTGATCTTTGATCCACACACACACAGGAGTCATTCCACAGTAAGCATCACATCACTTCTATGAAAGTGCAGTACAGCGTAAGGGCAGTTAAAGGAGTAGCTGCTTGAGCACTTGACCAAATTTTGTCTCTATTATCATGTATTGCAATCTGGCTAAGTTTTTCTCCTGCCTCAAACCTCCATAAAACATCAAGTTTTATATCCAATGTAATCCCTTTATGGGCTCCCTTGGCACTTGTATAGTACTACTGCTTTCACTTGCACTGATGGTCTCTTTCCACTCGTCTTGAATAAGGGTAATACACGGGACAGTCTTGAATAAGATACATATGTAAGTGTTAAATCCAAGAGCTGGGGTTAAGAGATCAAGCGTACACACTGGCAGATTAAAACACATTGAGTCGGTGTGAGTACGCCGATGTATAATTTCTGTGAATTTTTTTTTGCTCTATATTGCAATTTTTTTGTTGAGAATTTACCCCATATCTGTTAGGTCGAATTTACAGACCGTATTCCAAATTTACTGGTCATAATTTACAAAATCTGTATAGGCAAATTTCCGCAACCTTAGTTTCCATAATGTGAGGAATACCTGTACAGGGTATATCAATTTTCTATATCGAGATCTAAAAATTCTTTAGTAGATCACATACAGACTGTATGTGATCTACTAAAATTAGATCTCGTGTTTAACGTCATTACTAATTATGTATTTAATTTGGAAGTACTGTACCTGTATAATGCACTAAGAAAATTCATTTAAGACATTTATTACACTTGACCAAACGCTCAGCTTGACCCATCCACCACAAAACTCATCACAACACACCACAAATCTCTCATTTGGTCCACATTTACAAAGCTCACACTGTGCCTGTACACAGTGCAACTTGAGTCTTCCATGACATTAGTGAGTTTGGGGCCCAGCTTATTCAGGAGTTATGGAGCGTTGGTGTCTCAGGCTCTCAGAGTCTCTGTTTCTATTGGGACAAAGCAATATTTGTAGCTCAGAGTCCTGTACATTACAGTACTTTACTTTCTGATTTTCCCGTGAACTTGTCGCCCACACAGCTGCAGACTGGGAGAGACAGGTAGGCACCAGGATGGAACACATGTGGATCTTGTAACAGCTGTTTACCGTCCTTCCAGGGCAGCAGCATGATTCTGTGTGGGTACTTGTTAGGTTTGTAGATCTGCGTGCATTGTGTAGCCCTGGGCTATTCAACTGGCGGCCCTCGAGTCATGTTTAATTGGTACTTTGATTAATTCTCAGCAATTATAAAAAACATTAATCGTCTCGTTGTTTACAGATGTGTGGCCTATTAGATGATAAACTAGTACTTGTCACAAATACAGAATTAAAGACAGACATGAGAATAGATGTATTTCAGTGACTTGCTGAGTGTGATCTAAGCACAGTGTGTTCCTAATGCAGCCAATTGCATTGTTATGTATGTTTAAATGCATGACTTCTGTGTAAAATAGTTAAATAAAAGTACAGTACTTAAAAGAGAATTTAAGCTGTTTATTGTTTCTTTTTATGTTTATACAGTACATGATTAGATTGGAAAGTAGAAGTCGAAAATGTATGGGCCGGCCCCTCTGTCAATTTCAATTTCATAACTGGCCCCTAAAGTAGTTGAATAGCCCTTGGTGGTCAGACTCCTCTTGATGATGCCATCCCCCAATGGCTCCACAGTTGAGTACATGGCTGCCAAGTTAGTGTGTGTACTCATTACTTGTAAACTGTGTGGGTAGAAGCCACAAGTTGAAGGAATATTCCTGCATAGTCCAGGTAAAAATACCTTAGGAGGAGTTTATAGTGGGCAGTAGGGAGTCCTTGGTATGATGAACACACTCCATTTGCAAGCAAACCACCTTAGCCTGTTTTGTCACTACAAGCAAGTCTGAGGTGATCTCCATGATGCCCTGGTAGGCCTGCTTGGCATCATTTGGTAGCATTGGTTTAGCTCCTTTGATTGTAGTGGTCTGGCCATTGAGTGATTGCCACCCTAAAACTCGGGTCATTAACTCCTTCAGCCATTCCAGGGTATCTTAGAATGATACTCGATGCCAGTTCATTGAATGGTATGTAAGGAGAATAGGAATGTGAATGACCGGTTTTAAGGATACCAGTTCCTCCCAGGTCAACCACGAAAGTTATGTGCTCCGAGTCCTCCAGGGAGAGGTTTGTGGCTGCTGTATTTTTACAATATATATATATATATATATTAGGGTGGTCCAAAATATCACATATTTGTATACGTTTTCTCCACAAGGTTTATTTTTGTCCATTAGGTACAAAATGCATCCCAGAAAAAAATTGGATCATTTAAAGCATATTTAGAGGTCAATCCAATGTCCTCTTTTTTTCCATTTAGTACGTAATAAGGATTTTTCGGGGCTAGATAAACACATTATAAACACATTGTCTTTATTCAGCAAAATATACTATTTAGATTGATAATGAAATAATTGTAGAACTGATGAGATATAAATGAAATAAGTAACTTCATCTGATTAATGGTAACCCTTGTCTGTGTTTCCTGTTTCAACCTGTCATTGTCAGTCCCTATGACTCAATACTTGACTCTTTGCCCTTTCCAAATAGGCAACTAGGCTATATACATTGAAATATACCCAATATAATGTGTTGTGTATATTAAGACTGTATCATGCGGACAAGAAAATTCAGTCCTACACTACAAGTATAATATGCAAAATGGATTGACCTCTAAATGTTAATGAATATGGATAAAATTTTACAGACCTTATCTATGAACCAAATGGACAATTTTAAGGCTTGTGGAGGCAATATATTACTACTTATATTTTTTACCATATAGTTTTGGACCACCCTAATATATATATATATATAACACTACCATATGTTCACTATAACTCTACCACATGTTCACCACAACACTACCACACTTCACAATAACACTACCATATGTTCACTACCACACTACACTATAACACTACCATATGTTCACTACCACACTACACTATAACACTACCACACTGCACTATAACACTACCATATGTTCACTACAACACTACCACACTACACTATAACACTACCATATGTTCACTACAACACTACCACACTACACTATAACACTACCACATGT